TTATAAAAGCTAGTGGATTTATGTATAAATATTGATATTTCATAAATGATATCTCTGCGGCAAACATTGATTAACAGTTGCCTATACGAGTCTGTGTAACGCGTTTCATATAAGTAATACTATAGTTTTATCGTATCTTTTTTATTGACGATGATAACTTCTATTTCAAAATTCTATTAGCATTATTTATTAGAATCGTTTATTAGAATTTAAACACTTAAAGTCAGAAAGAGACAAAACTGTTACGTATGAATAATAATTTATCACAAGATTTAATTTATTTCATGATTTTATTTTGCACACATAAGATTGGAAAATCGAATAAGAAAATTTCAAACACAGTATCAACTAATTAAGCAAGATAAACAACTGGAACTGTATTTATAATATAATATAACATGTTAGAACATGATATATGAGAGTAAATAGTGATTATTTTATAATAATTTTGCTGAAATTATTGATATCAAATGCTTTTAATCATCTTAAAGTAAACATTAGTATTAATTAATAGATTATTTTAAATGCCTAACATTTATGCAAAAATATTTAATTATTTTTCTCGTCTCGTTTCCATTGATTCGTTGGCGGAAGATAATGATTTCGACCACTGCGCATCTACTGAAAAAGCAGGGGCGTCTTATATCAGTGATCGGATTTATTACATTCCCAACTTTAACAATGTCCAAGAAAACTTGCCTATCAGCTGTGCGACTTTAACCGAGTTCGGGATGAGTTGGAACTGCAGGGCGACAGATATACCTGAAAACTCAATCCATGCCTCGTGCGATTCAGTTCGCTTGACCCGAAACTTTGCCGGTTTATTGGTACGAGGATTCCGTGAAAGATAAAATAAATGTACCGGGAACGGCGCGCGATTCGGTGTTGCAAAGTGATAAGTCAAGCCACCGGATAAACTTCCGTCGAGAGGCGGTACGCGCGTGTTCGACTAGATCAGCGTTTGCCAACTTCTTCCGATACGTGAATCTCTCATGACGCCTCAAAACCCGTTTTATTTTAATAGTATTAATTATAATTTCAGCATTAATTTTTGGATTAATCACAGTAATTTGTTATAATTGATTGTAATTGTAATAATAATTAATTTGTCACAGCAAGCTCTTTTACGCTTTAATATCTACAAAATTAATCAACTACCGTAATAATTAATTTGTTACAATATTTTCATGTAGACATCCGTTATCTCGTGAATATCATTATACACTTTTAACGGCGAATATTCAACGAGTGAGCGTATCGTTTGTAGTTGTCTAAATAATGCGTGTCATACGATAAAACACGTTACACTTACTTGAACCTATTACTTCTCGAGAGACGTCTCGAGTCACTTTGACATTAAGCAGCTTAAACGGCTGATACATCCGTGTACGCTGTACATCGGATTAGCTGTACCTAAGGGCTCCTTGTTCCTACGCGCTGTAAATTGGAATCTGTTCTCTATTACAGCACTAGCACTCAGACCCGACACAATTTCTCCTTACCTGTAGTGAGTGGTAAGCACGAGCATGAGTGGCTGAGAGACAAAGCGTAATCGTGAACAGAGAGACGCAGTGTTGCGTATTTCTCTGCGCCGCGATATTAGCTATAGCGAAAGTAGCATTAATAATAATAAATTGATAATAATTAAAAATAGCGTTTCATATAAAGTAACATTATTATTAGATACTAAAATGCGTGTCGAATCAGTTTGATTGTTTAATTATTTATTTATAAGTCTGAATATATTTCGCGATTATTAGATGATGGAGATCAGTCGAGCATCAATAACGTCAAGTTATAATGTATTTATGGAATTTTATATAATAAAGTTTTTTTTTTTAAACATACAAATGTATATAAAAATGTTAAAATATGTATTTTCTCATTCATATGTATATGAATATATATATATATATTTTTAACAATTATGTACAGTGAAATTTATAAATTTATATACAACAAGCGTTATATATTAATTCACTATCGCAAACGCGAACACAAGTTGGACGGAGCAATTATCCTGACAAGTGCGCCAGCCGACGTTGATACGTAACTGAACTGAGAATTATTCGTGTAATCTACATCATCGTAATGTTCCGCAAACTGGAATCGATTATTTGCCACGTTGAACTTCCATTAGCACCAACCAGTCTGTGTTTATGTATCTGACAGTTGTAACGCGAGTGCAGTGAGATGCACATTGAAACAGCTGTAACTCTTTCTGGGCTCCTATTTTTCGTTAAAATTATCTCACTGCGATGTAGATGAAAGGTCGATTGAAGAAGAAAATAATCCAAGTTTTATACCACAAAAAGATATTGTGACATTTGTTGTACATACTTTTTATCTAAAACTTTCCAAACGGTAGTACTACATTCTAAACAATTAATAATTATTTAATAATAATTAATAATAAATCTACATCTTCTTTCCCGAAACTTTTCTCATAAAAATGCCGATTTATACATTACTCCGCATGACGATGGAATAGTAAGTTCAAGTTTGCACGTTGTACACAAACGGAGGAAAAAGCACAATTGTCTCTTGCTACGTACAAAGTGCCATTGTAGATTATCGATCTAGAACAGTACAAACGCTGTGTAGGAGACAGTGAGAGAAGAGAGATAGATGTACCGTGGGTCACAAAGAAACTAATTTCCAATACAGCGTAATGCAAGGCTGGATGGCCCCCTTTCGATGAGAGAAAAAAAAAACGACCCGTCCGGGTCAGCACATCTTTTGCATTACAAACGGCGATCTTTCAGTGAATCTTGGTGAATTGGACCTTATCGAAACCTCGTAAAAGATGTTCAGTAAGTCAATGAAGGACTATCGCTTTAAACACCACTAGTATAGGATGTCTGAGGTGTCGTTGAGATAAATTATTTCATTAGTTGTTTCACGAAGAAAAAGTCTATTTCCAATGTATTATAATTTATTTAATCATTATTTCTCATTATTAAACAATTTTTATATACAAGTAAGATTTTAAATATGCCACTTTAGATGGCAAATAATGAGCTCATTTCTAAGCAAATATTTGTATTTATTGCATTTACGTAATTTTATTTTTAAGCAAATAAAATCGATTTATAATTAAAAAAGTAGAGAGGAAACGGAGCGCAATTTTCCTTTTTGATCGTGTCAATACCAAAGGATGTCGTAAAAATTTCCCAACCCTCCTAGTCTCGACATGGCATTCGAAACGTCAACGACACCCGCGAAGTATAGCGTCAATGATATCCTAACAACACACAAGTAAAGCTGCGAGAACTTCCTCGACGGTAAATGTTCCGCGAGAAAAATTTTGACAGCAAATTTTTCATACTCGTGTGAAATTATCAATTATATACTTTGTGTTCTAATACAGCGTAACATTAGTAAAATAATATGTATTTAATATACTACTTATTGTCAGCAAGAACATTCTTGAATGAATAATGTTCCGAATAAATAAATATTAAATTACGCGCATCATTGGATTATTAATTAAATTAATTAAATTTTAGAGTTCAAAATAAATTAACTTAAAAATCTTTATATTCTATAAATGTGACATCATTTTCATGTCCTGAATCTTTAATTATTATACATAAATCCATCAGGTTCATTATTATTCAAATTAATTCAACTTAAAATTGAAAATTAATTAATTAAAAAATCTCAAAATACTATAAATTTAATGCTATAATTTTCATATCCTTAATTATTATAAATAAATTCATTATTAATAATGAATATTAATTAATATTCTAATTAAAATATTGTTTTATTATTTTAATTATTTGTGTCATAACACAACATTACATGTACAATTTGGCGTTATATAATTATTTATGTCGATAGATAATTCGACATTAATATTACAGAATTAGTAAGGTTGTAACGACGTGATAGCAACGAAAAGTTTCTCACCAAGTCCATGCTTTGCTTGGAATATCCCTTTTTATCGCTTCGTAAAGCCGAGCTACGCGTCTTCTTCAAATTCGACACATTCATTTTGCCGTGATAGAATCGAGACGCAGTTCTACGACTCGGGGTGACAGCTCGGCAAGAATGCGCCCGGTCATCACGACGTGATATCAAACTCGAACCAGCAACCATGACAAGGAGAGAATCCACTGGATGAAGGGGTGGACAGTCGTGGTGCGACTTATCGATCGCGCATCATGGAGGTGCACCCTCGTCGTTTTTCAGGACGCCCCTTTATGCACAGATGATGCATCGATGCATCTTGCATCGGCCGCTGGCGCTCATTGTCGAAAATTATTGTTCATTAAAAAGAAAAAATAAAGAATAGGCATTAAATATTGTGAACTAAAAATATTAAGATGCTACAAATGCGTTATAAATGCTAAAAAAATATTAAAATCGGTTTGCGAAAATGGATAAATATCGTACATTCATACAATTATAAATATACGAAATATACGATATTTACATATTTACAAATAAATATAAACGTTTCTTCGTCAGGCGTGATTGTTACAAAACCGCTTGTAGGTAATCGGTCGTATTTTATCAATTATCGATGCTTTTAATCGAACGCCGCTGCAACAGCAATAACGCCGTATCGGTGGCGCGCCATCAATTTTTTTGAACTTAATCACGCACCTTTTATTACATCGCGATACAGCTTTATCGAGCAGTTCGACGCAACACGTGTAAACTCGCGTAAACGAGTGCTCGACTATTAAAACTGTCTCTCGCCGATTTATTTTTCCCTCACGCCGCTGCTTTATGTTTGCGTTTCGCCGCGTCCTGTAAAATTACATTCACTCTTCGCGGCGCAAAATCTATTCGCGAACAAGTTGCGAGTTTATACGAGCGTGATAACGCATCGTAATCCAATGCAGGAATCGTGCACACTGATTGATGATGTATTTTTTAAATACACTTTTTGAATTCTCTTACATGAATCTTTAATTAATATCAAAGTTTTAATTAACTTACCAAAGTTCTTGCATCACTGCTGACCGCAAACTTATTTTCTGCTTCAGAAGCGCGAGCCAGAATACTGGGCCAGTCGGACATCTACGTGAAAACCGGAAGTCTTCTGACGTTGACGTGTCTCATGTCTCAAGGCCCCCATGATCTAGGAACGGTGGCCTGGTATCGGGGCAATCAGGCGGTGGTAACTTCACCGCAATCAGAAAATGACGTCGACACGGAACCTCGCATAACCGTCGAGACGGAATGGAGCGACGCCCTCACATCGAAGTAAGGACGAATAATTAAACTGTTCCTATCTAAATAGTTGTTCAAAGATAATTTAATTGTAAAAAATAACTCACCGATGTGAAACAATGATCAACAATTTCCGTGAGCACTAAATGTAAGCACGAAATAAACCTTGTACACTCGTGACGATACTTTTCCCTCGCGACAGCGTGTATATATTATAATTTATTTTTCAAATATCAAAAACTCGGTTCTCCTTTCCTACGCAAAACTCGTTTGTGCGCTATGAACAAAATAGGGAAAAAGCTCGTCACGCTTGTCGCACATTCCAGAGTCATCACTTCCGCGCGCGGAGAGCGAGCTCTCGTAAACGCGTACACTGATGTGATATTGTTACGAAGTACTATTTAATTTTTTACACTGGCTCCAGTCGGGCAAGTGCGTCGACTAAATAAAAAATGAAGATCACACGCGCCATATATTTCCGGCGGTCACATTTTAACGCAGTTTAAATATTTCAATTTTCTCGCAGCGTCCCCGCGGCGCATTTTAAAAACCGGATCCTACAGCGCGGCCGGTGTGTTTCACCCTAAACGACATGCAATTTTGTAAAAATTGTTCATTGAAGGACTCGGTGCGATAACGCGTTTGTGCCATACTGGAGTAAACTTCACCAACCAGTGGTTGCAAAACATTATAAAGTTAATATTAATCGTATAAAGTTATTGTTTTTTTTTTTTGTGACTTAATAAAGAGTGACAAATATTTTAGAAGCGCAATTAGTTTTTAAATCGTCTTTTGCTTTCCACTCAAACCTGCTTTTTGTCCAAAGTTTCTTTTATCGAATATCATGCGTCGTGTGTACGATATTTCATCGTACGCGGTGTACCGTATCTTTTTCGAGCCGCTGGTAAAATAAATAAATGGTCCTCCGCTTATCCCCTCCCACGCCCAGGGGAAATAATGAGAAATAATGGCGCGCTGGGTGGTTGTCCCGCCGGTCCTACACGTCGTCGTGGTCCTTTGAAAAACTGATCCCGCGCTCAAATTAATTTATTTCGAGATACCCGCGATTCTACGGGGCCGCTTTAAAAGCGCGCAATACGCACACACTACCGAAATATCCACTGGTAGCAACGATTTTAAAAAGTTATTTCAGTCACAAGCGTACATCTTTTATTTATCGTGTAAATAATAATTTATTTTCAATATCTACTTTTCAATATCAAAATACCTGGAGCTTGAATAAAAAAGCCGAAAAAAAGTAACAATTGAAAAATATTGTAAGAAAGATACAAAATATTTATATGTAAATAAAATTGCAACGCGCGTATACGAGAAATTATCTTTGTGCCAAAACTTCTCTCTCCCTCTCTCTCTCTTTCTCATATTTGAAATATCTAAACGTATTTCTCAACTTTTTTCTCAAGTATTTTTTCACTAGTATTCAAAAAATGTACTTTAGTGCAAAACATAGATATACTCAAAAATATGTACGAGTACAACGAGGATATTCATATTTAAATGTTTTACACTATTGTTATACTCTCAATCTTTACTCGGGATAAAAATGATTGAATGAAGACCGAGCGTGTCCTGGAGATCGGGACGCCGCGGACGTCGCGTGACGTCTGATTATCTAATTGTCCAACGTACGGTCGAGACGACAAGGTCCTTTGTCATATGGCCCGCGCACCGTGAAGACGCATCAGACATGCTCCGCATTTCACCCGACTGTTTAGCCGGGCCGCTTGTGTCGGTCCGAATATTGCGCCGCCGTTGTATCCGCCGCGCGTCCGTTTTTGGACGTGATTGACGATTGTCACGACGACGCCGTTACGCGCCGCGCCGACAAATTTACGAGGCCGCGGCTCAAGAAGCGAATTAATTGTCGCGCAGCTGTCGGCCCGCAACTTCCGTCGTGCACACGTCCGTTTTCCGTAAATCCGACTGAACTATCTGAAAGTACCGGCAGTCACGGTCGAAATATTCCTACGCAGATGTCAGTCGGTACACTCTCGTACGTACTGTCACATATTTATTGACGACAAATATAATTAGCATAACAAAATGATTACAATATTTTTTGTCTCAAGTAAGTTTTACATGTGTATTAGTGTGAAAGTGAAACTAATACTTGCTGTGTAAAACACTGATATAATTTGATGAACACATCAGTACATTTAATATATTTAATATTCAACATTTCATATTAATAATTACATTGAGATAAATCCGTAGAATTTGCTAAATTACAATCATTCTGGCATCGATTATACGTGCTCGTCATTATTCAAATAATTTTTCTAATTTTTTAGAAGCTTTAAAAAAAGATCTATTTTTTTAATTCTTTAAAATCCTAAAGGAATAAAATTCCGCTAACAATCTGCATTCCTTTCTGAGCCAATTTTGATCTACGTATAAAATTAAATCAAGTTATCTAAACATTATATTATCCGCAGCAATATTTTCATAATATTCCAGGATGCAATAAATGCATTATTCGCATTTACGAAGAGATCGCGATATTCAAATTTCGCGTTAAGCGAACAGCTAATCTACGAGCCCGATTTTCAAGTCTGGAATTTCCGCGCGCATATAAATCGCTCGGATTCTCGATAATGTAATGTGTAACCGGATATCGTTTTATTCCGTCACATCGAGATTACCTTACTCCCTCCTACCGAGCCATGGTGGAGTGGAAGGTGGTTCGTTGTCGAGGAGCTTAGTCTGCGCCACTATACATTTTCATTATCCCCGGTGCTCCGTCGAGTCTACTGCTGCAGCTCGTCGCACCGGCATCGCAATAATTATTTCGCGGTAGCATTCAGTTCGCGGAATGCGGTAACCGCATGCGGAACGGCGTTACATAACCTTAAGCGGCCGTTATTGGTCCCACGAGCGCGATGCATTACGACCCTGTGCGATGAAGCTAACTACTGAAATACGGGAAGTAAATGAGTAATCGATAATCTATTGGGAGCGCCGCAACTTCTTCGCGTGACGTTATGTATCGTGTAACGAATGTCCCCATTATTTTACATGCACACCGGCCTGCGTAAGTGTCCCAGCAAAACCATATATCGCTTCTTATCTAAGAACGATGGCTGCGGCACGCTATAAAAATATGCCAATAATTATAATCACCGAGAGACGATAATTATACTTGTAAAATATATTAGTAATCGATAATCTCTCTCTCTCTCGCTTCTCTCTCTCTCTCTCTCTCTCTCTCTCTCTCTCTCTCTCTCTCTCTCTCTCTCTCTCTCTCTCTCTCTCGCTCTCTCGCTCTGTTGGGATTAATTAAAACTCTTACATCTTTTTAAGAAGACGATATTGAAAAAGTCACAGTACGTTAAATTTTCGCAACGTTTCTATCGGGATATATGTAAAAACTAAACGTTTGACAAAGATAATTATTGAATGTAAAAAAATAGCTTTTATTCTCCGTGTCGATTAGCAACTGTCGTGAGAAAATTTCCTCTTGGCGCGATAAAATCATTCGGAGCATATTCGAGCCGCTTCCCCAAGTAGTTTTCCATGAAATTAACCTGCCGATTAACTTTACGTGTCCGCGACTTTATCTCTCCGGCGCGTAATTACTTGTTTATTCCACTTTTGTGCGATTAGCGCAACGCGGCCGTTGCAGCTTATTAATGCAACTCTCCGCTGAACCCGGAAATTTTCTCTGTATATCGCATTTCGTGCACTCAAACCAATTCGATACTCCCATATTTGAGGAACTGCATTCTCGCCGTGGCTGGAAAAACTTTCCAACACACGATACGCTGCGAGAATTCGAGCCCGTTTCGATTTCTATCGGTCTGTTGGACCCGATTTACTACTAGGTCATAACGGTAACGAGTGTCGAGCAAATAGAATGAAAAACGAACGAAAAAAAACACTGCGTTTCCTGTTTCTCGATTATTACAGCGAAACGACCTGATCGAAGTTCGGCCAAACGCGATGTAAACTTTGAGCGAGAGAAACGCGAACGAACGTGGTCGTAAAAATCGAGGTCAGTTCAGACATTCACCATACAAGAGTTAAATATTGTAAAGTTTTTCGATGATAAAATGGAATTCATAATCTTGTCATTATTCAATAATAATCGGTGAAGAAATTAAAAAAATATATTTTGAAAATATAGATATTTTTTATTATCGCGCATCTTGCATCATCATTTATTGCGCGCGATAATAGAAATATCTCCCGATCGCGCGTTAGAAATTATGTAACGTGATAAAATTTACATCATACATATCGGAGGTACTTTCGACAAAAGTATGCACGATGCATTACGCAGAGAGGAGAACGGGTAATTGGACCGCTGCCGCTAATAACGTCGTCGGATAATTATCACTGAATTAACGATACTTCATTGTTAGTTACGTCATTAGTTATTTTATATGATCCTGTACTTTATGTATATTTCTGATGAAATTGCACGCCTACGACTATGCTGTGTAACATACGACTTTGGAATGATTTTGTAGAATACATAGATACGTAACGATCTTGTTGTGAGTTACGATCGCCCCTGGAAATGCCATAAAAGTTCGAAATTATTTTATGATATATGCAGACTATAAAACGAAAAAGACGCGATGGTTTCAGAATATTACGTGTGTATATGTATAAGTTCCCTAGGAATTGCATTCGAGCATAAAGGAATGATATATATCTTATCGAATTCGTATATCGAAAGGTTCACGATTAATTTTGTCATCTTTCGGTGACTCATTTTTTTATATCCCGGAAAATGAGTTTTCTTATAATACATGTGAGATGAAGGAAAAATTCTGCACAAGGTGAACTTCAAAGAGCTGCTTTCATATTTGGCATCTTTAACGACCGAGTAGCAATTTTCCGCATGCCTTATTTCTCTCTTTATTGTATTCTTTACTTTGATTAAGGCTAATCAAGATTAATCCTCTCCGGTTTTAATTTAAATCGCATTTTTTAATTAAGCCGACATATGCGACCTAGATAAATTGCTCAACGAGATACAAGAAATAAAGTTACCTTATTCAGTCATTTAAATACTCAATATTGATTATTAGCATAATGCAAGATAAATGCGTTAAAATAATACAATTTGTACGAAAATGACGCAAATTTATGTAATACCGGTAGCACCATAAGCGTTATTATCTAAGTATTATTTTTTTTTTAACTAGTGTTTGTGTGTATTATAAAAATGGAGCTGTGAATCTCTATTCTTGCGAAACAAGTTAAATCTTATATTTATATTATATTTATCACGATGGATTTAAATGTTTAATGCACACACAAAATTATATAAATCACGCAAGATATGTGAGATATGTAATGTAATGTCACATGTAGTATGAACAATTAAGCGATAAATAATTACCTTTTGTTGCGACAGATTGAAGATCACGCATGCGAAGCTCGGTGACTCCGGAAACTACAGTTGCGTTCCTACCGTGGCGGAGAGAGCGAGTGTCAACGTGCACGTGATCAATGGTAAGTCCGTCAGAAATGCCATAACTGATCCACGCGACAAGATAATCCTTATACACGCGTCGATCACTTATCCCCGTGCCGCCGCGATATACGTACCCGGCCTTTATTTATCATAGTGCATTAACCCTTTCACGCATGGCGTATCCCTTTCCTGACGATTTAATCTTCTCACACGCGTGCTTTCAGGAAATGAAAATTAAAGTGACACTTCTTGTTGGAAAATACAAAAGAAATTTTAATACTCGATTAGCTCTGAAATTTAAATAGCATAATCCTTATCGATTAATCGATAATAAATCAATTTTTGTAATATATATTAATTATCGAATTTCTAGTATCTTAATATTAAATAATTTTAATAATAAATTCTACTTTATAAGCTCGAAAACACTCTTCTTTAATTTTATTTTTTCTTACTTTTACTTTAATATTGAATAGAAAAAAATCTAGACAAATAATGAACTCTAACGGTGCAGCTTTAAAAAAGTTTGATATTTAATTACAATGTTATATAAATTTACAACTATGTTAGGAAATATTTTATTATATATTTGTACGCTTGTTATAACTATGAAGACTGTATGATTGTATCGCGAAAATAATCAATATTATTTTACTGTGAAAAAAAAACAAGTGATTCAATGAACGACGCGTACATCATACACAAGGCACATTGCCGGCTTATTGTCCGGCATAGTTGGTGTTTTTAACAACCGTTTTTCCGTCTGCTTTATGATCGTCTGATAGCGTATAAAAATAATCCGATATCGCCAACGGCGTCGCGTTTTCTGGTAGGGACCACGAAAAAGCGTAATATCTAGCAAGAGAAAGATTCACGAAGATGAAAGGCAGAACGTGCAGATCGCTTGAAAGAGAGCTTCTCTGGTAGCCTCCCTAAGCGATCGAACTCGAATTACAGTCTATGAGAAAACCTCGACCACATATTCTATTTCTCTCTCACCAACAGCCGTAGTTGGAACAATAGCAATCTATCTTTTTTTCCAATTAAAAAGAAACAAATATTATCGTAAAATATTGTATCATATTTCTTTTATTTTCTATCTTTACAATTATTATGTAATTTTGATTTATATCTTTTATAACTAGCATCAAAATTATACTCATCCTCTTTCATGTTCACAATAAGAAGCGTAATCGTTGGACATGTTGTATTGTATGTTTGCATAAATATTGGAAGATTTGTATAAATTATATAATTAATCACCGCTTTTAATTTGCAACATATTATTACGATCTCTTATCTCTAAATATCATGTCTCAATATCGAATTAAAAATTTTTTGTATCTTTTGTCACGTTTTTTTATATTTTTTATATTAATATAATTTTTAACTTTATTTTCAAAGCTTTGTCATATGCAAGATATCCCAGACCGACTGTATCACCCATTCATAACAGATTCCTGAGGATTCTCATATAATAAGAATACAAAAATCAATATGTGACGTATCTGAGTGCGTGAATTTTTGACAATCTGATTTATATAATTTTCGTTTCCGAATGACCTCAGAAATCTGCTATTAAGGAATAATACGGTTGGTCTGTATGTGTGCAAGATTAAACATTAGCAAAAAAGATTTATGAAAAAGAATCACTTAACAAATTATTCGTATAAGAATGTATACTCTTGTCGGGTCGATTAACACATAGTATTATAAACAGAAAGAGACGAACGAGAGATCGTGATGGTATGCCTGGTAATTTGCAGACAGGTTGGCTGGCACCACAACTACAGTCGATGCACCACTTTACCGGCGACCATTATCTTCCTTTTGTTATGCCGGCTCTAGCGAAACGTAATTCAATTCCTCGCCGAGGTTCGACCCATCCAGCGTCCATCCGCCTTTTTAGCGGTGGGTCTCTTCGTCCAACTGAATTCCCGAAGGAAACTGTTTCCCGAGTTGCATCTCGGAGCACGTACCGTGCGTGCAGATATTTTTCTATAACGAGCCACCGGTTCGCTCGTGATTACTTTGTGTCTCTTATTGTAAATTTGAAGGAGGACAAAACTCTTCCGGCATAATTTCGATGCTACGTGAAATTCTGCTTCGCCGGTGGCATCTAAAGCAGATGACATCAAATAACGAGCAGGACAAAAATTTTGCTGATTGCAATATTCAAATTGTAGGCTAATGGTGACAGAAAAATCGAAAAGTACATATTTCAAAATTTTATTTTACTATTTTTTGAAAAGTTTATCACCTTACAAATTAAGTAACAATCAGTGCGATAAATGGCATTAAATGTTGATAATAAAATTAATTGATAAATAATGTTAACATAAATGCTTATGTTTATATATTGATATTAATTATAACTAATATTAACTTTTATAAATAAAATAGTAAATGATATTAACATAATTAATAATATGTTTATATATAGTGTTTGCTTATATATATTTAGTATGTTTAATGCAATTGATTATATTTATCTTTACATATACAGTTAAATGGCAGTAATATAATTTATTTTTATAATTAAATGACATGATAATAGACTCATACGTTATGTTCAGAATATGATACATAAATAACAAACACTTGAAATTTATTTCTTAAAAAGAAATTAAATGAGAGAAATAGACTATGAAAGATAAACATATAACTAAAGTACCTCAAGATATTCTTTCTCTCTATTCAAAAGTGAATTATTACAAAATTGGAGCAATCTGATTACCAAACTAGATTGAAAGTTATTATTCGGCAATTCGATTACATTACGTTTGTGAATACGCCATGCGGCTTATGCGCGATGATCGGAAATTTATGGCATCGCCGAATCATTAAATAAACATATTTCAACGGACGTATCCCAAAATTGTCGAGATAATGCAACGCGCGTGTTTTACATTAATGCAAGCGTAATTAATGTGCCAGCATCTTTGTTGCGAGTCGTGATGCCGGGGAGATATAATAAATGGCCGTTTCACTGCCACTCTTTACTTTCAGCATTTCTCAATAAACAAAGCAACATCTTTTTGCGTGAGTTAATAGTTTTAAAACTCACTCACAAGAGAAAGAATCGACGCTTGTGTCGTTTATGCAGATGTACGAATTACATACTTATTTATAGAATTTTTTATACAATTATATTAGCATATTTTTGCGAAAACTTCCAGTTGAGAATCGCTGCGTGGCGCAATGTGTGCACGCAATTTTCCACACATTCTGCGTGGCACCGGTTGAGCTCTTAGATGCACCTGCGCATTTTATCAGAATCTGATTACTTGTCAAAAAATAATCCCTTTTTATGTCTAATTCATCTGTAGCTGAATGTGAATTATATGCTCCTGTTAAAAATCTCCTTCTCTCTTTCTCGTTCTTGTTCTCATATTTGCGCCTTTATTCGCAGGATGAAAATTTTTATTGCGCGATTTTCATCGCGTATTGAATGTTTTATACGAACATAATGGCATCCGTTCGTTTCGATCGATTCGTGGTGATATTTCAGTTAGGCGTTTTTAATCCCGCTATGAGCAAACTTTAGACGCAGTTAAAAGAGCTTACAACAGGAATAAACTAAAATAATATTTTGTTCTTTTGTAATTCCAATACATTTGTCAAACTTTGTTTTATACATTTGTAAATTTCAAATTCCTATGTAAAAGACATAAAGATTTATTCAATCATTTTTTATTTAAAGAATTGTAAGAAATAAGATTTTATTTATCCTTACATGTAATGTATTTTTTTATATTTTATACTAAGCATCTCAAATTTGCGATAAAATATTACACTTACCAAATATTCAGCGGAAAAACCTTAATTTTTAATTAAGAAAAGTCGATATAATTATAAACATAATTTGCAATTGTTGTATTCTTAATTTAAAACGTTTTTATCGTGATCGCAACTTCAAGAATGTAATTTCGTACGATTCGTTCATACGAATACGTGAGTTTTGTGTCATAACAAAGATATTTTTATTCTCCATTCTTATTGCGCAAATTTGCGCAAAATGCGTGTGCGCGTTTAATAATTTTTACGTAAAAGCACCAATTGCTGCCCAAGCGAAATCAGCGTGAAATGTCAATTATATGGAAATTGACGAGCGAGCCATGGTGCGCTGAATAATTCGCGAATTTGTTCCAAGAGTTATAAGGTGCGCTTTGAATGCAAACCCGCAGAATTCGCTAGCGATGCACACATGTTATATAATTAGATGCGGCGAATGCACACGATGAGAGGAAAATCGCACGAGGTTACTATTCATCGTGGCGGCAATTTTTCTTTTTCATTAAACATTGTTGATTTTCTCGGCGGAAACAGTATCATAAATATAACAGTCGCGTTTGTAAACGTTAATTTTAATTACATTCGTCAACACTGCAACATGCGTATTCACGAGAACATCCCCGTTCAGTGTACAAATTTAGAATCATTAATAAAAATTACAAAAAGATTGTTTCAGTCAACCCATTAAGAAGTATTGAAGCAAACAATGATCATTAAATCATCTATAGTTATGATTAGACAGTAAAACATCATATCGCGACTTCCATACAAAAAATTTAATAATTTTACTTTTTTAATAATATAGAATCTATTTTTTCTTTAACATTTAATATAAATTGTAATAAAAAATTGTAATTGTACATTAATTATTAGAAAAATAAAACATTAATTGCTTTTATATTACAGTTACAAGTATTACATCACTTTCATTACTTTCATATTACATCATAAAAACATGTAAACTTGCAATTAAATCGTTATTATAAACTGTAGTTTTGTTTCATGTACTCGCGAACGATAATCAAACTTTATGACGCACGTAATAATAGAACGAGATAATGATATTCATCCTTCGTGGAATATATCGCATGATCGATTTTCGACTCGGTTGATAATTTTCATTGATGCAAAAGTTAATTGCTTTAAGCAGAGCCAATTAAAGCGATCCTCTCAAAGTTCTTTAATTACTAACGCGATCGATGTCGACAGATCACTGTATCGGCAAATTTTTGTGACACACTCG